CAGGCATCATCCTGGTATCATTTTTTTCAGCCGGCAATGGGCTTTCATGTAAAAGCATTCCTAGTGGTTAATTAGCTGCAGGATTGCCTTTACAAGCAGCGGGAAAATGCCCCCCCCCCCCTCCCTGAGATAGCATTAAAAGTGATTAAAAAAAAAAAAATTAAAGGGACAGTGTAAAAAATAATTAAATAAATCAGAAAAAAAAAAAAAAAAAAAAGAACCTCGCCCATCCGCGCACGCGCACACCTGCGGTCGTGAGCGTTGACCCTGTGCCAGTATGGAAACAGCGATTGCACCATGCATGTGAGGTATCGCCACGAACGTCAGATCAAGGGCAGTAATTATAGCTCTAGACCTCCTCTGTAAATCTAAAATGGTAGCTTGTAAAGGCTTTTAAAGCGTTGCCTATAGATATTAAAAATGTATGCAGTTTGTCGCCATTGCACAGGGCATGCGCAATTTTAAAGCATGTCATGTTTGGTATCTATTTACTCAGCATAGCATCATCATCTTTTATATCATACCAAATAATTGGCCAATATATTGTGTTTTTGTGCATTAAAATTAAAAAAAGTGTATATTTTTCAAAAAAATTGCGTTTGAAAAATCGCTGTGTAAGTAATATGTGAGATAAAAAATTGCACCACCCACCATTTTATTTACTAGGGTGTCTGCTCTAAAAAAATATATAATGTTTGGGGGTTCACTTTAATTTCCTAGCAAAAATACTGATTTTTTTAATGTGAACAAAAAGTGTCAGAAAAGGCTTGGTCTTCAGGTGGTTAGAAGAGTGAGTGATGTGTGGCATAAACTTCTAATGCTGGGCATAAAATGCCCCCACCCCCCAAAATGACCCCTTTTTGGAAAGTAGACACCCCAAAACTATTTGCTGAGAGGCATGTTGAATCAATAGAAGAATTTATTTTTTTACCACAAGTTTTTGGAAAATGACAAAAAAAAAAAAAAATTACACAAAATTGTCATTGAAATAATTTATTGCTCACACAAGCCATGTATATGTGGAATTACTCCCCAAAATACATTCTGCTACTTCTCCCGAGTATGGGGGTACCACATGTGGAGACTTTTTGGCAGTCTAGCCAAGTACAGGACCCCAAAATCCAATAAGCACCTTCAGGCTTTTAAAGGGCTTTATTTCCTCATTACACTTCCTGACTACCTATCACAGTTTCGGAGGCCCTGGAATGCCAGAATAGCACCAAACCCCCCCAAATGACCCCTTTTTGGAAAGTAGACACCCAAAGGAATTTGATAAGAAGCATGGTAAGTATTTTGAAGATCTCATTTGTTGCCACAAGTTTTTGGAAAATGAAGAAAGAAAATAAAAACATATTTTTTTTTTTTTTTTATATTTCAAAACCTTGTGAGAAAAAATGAGATCTGCAAAATACTTACCATGCCTCTTTTTAAATTCCTTGGGGTGTCTACTTTCCAAAAAGGGGTCATTTGGGGGGGGGGGGGGGGTGCTATCCTGGCATTTCAGGGCCTCCGAACTGTGATAGGTAGTGGGGAAGTGAAATGAAGAAGTTACGCACCTTCAGGCTTTCAAAGTGGTCATTGGATTTCAGGCTCTTGTATGTGGCTAGGCTCCCAAAAAGTGTCACACGTGTGGTATCCTCATACTCGGTAGAAGTAGCAGAATGTATTTTGGGGTGTAATTCCACATATACCCATGGTTTTGTGCAAGAAATAAATCATTTAAATTGCAATTTTGTGTAAAAAAAAAAAAAAAAAAAAAAAAAAAAACGTTTTGTCATTTTCCAGAAACTTGTGGAAAAAAAAAAAAATCTTCAATGGACACAATATGTCTCTCAGCAGATAGCTTAGGGTGTCTGCTTTCCGAAAAGGGGTCATTTGGGGGTGTTTGTACTATCCTGATATTTTAGCACCTCAAGAGATGTGATGGGCGGTCAGAAAGTAAAAGCTGTGTAAATTGCAGTATCTATACCATAGTTTGTAGAGGCTATAACTTCACACAAAGCAATCAATATACACTTATTGGATTTTTTTTACCAAAAAACATGGAGCAGAATACATTTTGGCTTAAATTTATGACTAACTTTGAGTTTACGATATATTTTTTATAGCTGAAAGTAAAAAATATTGGTTTTTTTTCAAAATTTTCGTGGTTTTTTTTGTTTATAGCGCAAAAAATAAAAAGCGCACAGATGATAAAATACCACCAAAAGAAAGCTCTATTTGTGTGAAAAAAAGGACGTTAATTTTGTTTGGGTACAACATTGCATGACCGTGCAATTATCATTTGAATTAGTGCAGCGCCAAACAGCAAAAAAAGGCCTGTTCATTAAGGGGGGTAAATCCTCAGGAGCTCAAGTGGTTAAATTTGAGGAGCTTTTTCCCCTATTGAACTACATTAGAGGTAGCAATGATCTGCTGGAGGAAGTGGTTGTGGAAGGGCAGAGTCTATCAGCAGGATATACAGAGGGTCACATGATACAAAGCAACAACCAATCCCAGAATATCAGGTGATCTGCAGACAACAGAGCAACATGGTACAGGGGTATGATCTGTGCTGGGATTGATCATTCAATTCATTTCTAGTGAAAAGAAAGTTGGAATTCAGCTTTAGGCTAGGTTCACACCTATACAGTTTACGTTTGATCCGTTTCTGCAGTGCTTTTTGCGGTGCATTTTGTGTTTTTGGCCATGCATTTTATTATGCGTTTTGCAGGGGTTTTTTTTAGGGGTTTTTTCCAACTTGTTGCTGGGCATTTTAAAATGCACAAAGTATCAAAAACGTTTCAAAAACGCATAAAAAACACACTACATGCATTTTTGCAGTGTCTCCATTGAAGTCTATTGTACCAAAACGCAGAGTTTTGTGTTTAAAAAAGTCCCTGACCCTTTCAAAAAAAACACACCGGATGAAAACTCGGAGATGTAAATGTGTCCCATAGGAATTTGTGTTAAATGGACTGCAGTACGTTTCTGCAAAACGCAAAACACTTAGGTGTGAACCTAGACTTAAGGCAGAAGAACGTTCAAATGCATATTTATTGTATTAAACTATTTATATCAGTAATGTTTACATTAGGATATATATTAAAAACATTTTGCTCTTTTTACAGATAAATTGAAGATTTTCCAGGAACTTCTTTTCAGATTAAATATGAAGCATTTAAATGATTCCAAACTGACATTGAAACACATCTTAGAAATTGGAGCAGAGACTCTGAGTGATGTCCATCCCCAGACCATTCAAGATGTTCCATGGCATTTTTTGAGAAAGCTGATGGCCTTAAACAGAACTGCACTCAATACTCAGTATGGACAAGATACACAAATAATCAATTCAATTGAAAACATGTTGGAGTCAATGATTGAAGGGGAAAGTAGTTCAATGGAATCCATTCACCCCCTGGATGTCCTCTGTGCTCTCCTCCATTGTTCAGACAGTTTTCTACAACAAGAGATTGTATCTAGATTGTCCATGTGCCAGTTTGCCGTCCCTCTCCTTCTCCCTGCTGGTGACGGGTCACACTTCACCCTCATGCTTTGGGCAATGAGGGACATTGTGAAGAAGTGGAGACCTCAGTCACTGACTGATAGGAAAAGGTTCTATGAGGAAAATGTGGTGAATATTTCCATGCCTATTTTCTCCTTCATCAGACTGGGTGACACCAAACTATCCAAATCTATAATCCTGAATCAAGTTCTTAATCCAGCCCAACAACACCAAAACTTCTTCATACACAATGATATGGAGGGAGGAAATATTGAAAGGAAAATATCTGATGGCCTTGTGGAAATGTCCTGGTATTTTCCCTGTGGTAAGTCTGATGTTTTCCCAGAACCCATTGCAGTGACCAACCTACGAGGAGACCTGGAGACCAACATGAACCAATTCACATTTCTGACTCGAGTCTCATCAGCTGTATTTATATTCATTGAAAGTATTTCTGAGATACAATTCAGACTGTTATCATCCTTCAGTGACAATGACACCCAGTTTTATTTTATTGTTACTCCAGAAAAGGGGATAAAAATAAGTGAAGAGACATCAAAGCACATAAAAAATCTAATGACAATGTTAAAGATGAGTACAACAAAATATTATTTGCAAAACCAGCACAGATAATGATGCAGCATTGGTGAAAAAAATTCAGACTCGCATTGAGAGTGTTTTTAAAAAGAGTCATAAAGAAAGACAAAACCTGTGTAGTGCTACAAATAAAACTGAAGGACTTCATATCTTTGTTGATGAGAATTCCGCTGAATGTCAGAAAGCAAAAGTAAATGCAAATAAAATTACTTCAGAGATAAAAGATGTGGAAGGGTATAAAAAGGAAACATTGAAATTACAGGGAGATCTGTGGAAGGAATTGTCTAAAGTAGAAAAAGAAATTTGCAGAATGACGAAACAAGGAGAAAAAGATGCACAAGAATATCAATCTGAGCTCAAACAACAGATCAGATCACTCCATGAAAAACAATACAAACATGACATTCCTGTAGGCATAGTGCATTTTACTGAAGCAATTACTGACCTCTCCAAGGCTGAAAAACATTATTTCTTGAAATGGATGAAATTTGAACTGGATTCAGTTGCAAGAAATAACATTTCCTTGTTGCAGTCTGAATACAAGGCAAAATGTAACAGTAAATCAGATACTTCAGAACTTAAGCAGCTAGATCAAAAGATCTCAGACAGTTCTTTAGGAATAGAACATTTCCTACGTGAGCTGGGACAGTTTTATGAGGCTGAGTATTCCACAGTTGTTAACAAACAGAATAATAAAACCACAAGACAATTCACCAAACTTCCAGGAATTGCTGCTGATCTCCTACTAGATGGGTTTCCATTAGAGTTGATTGATGGCGACGCCTCTAATATTCCTTTACAGTGGATAACTGATGTTCTGACTGAGCTAGACAATAAGACAGGAGGACGATGCAAAATGAGAGTAATCACAGTGCTGGGAGTGCAGAGTACAGGGAAGTCCACCCTTCTGAACACCATGTTTGGTCTGCAGTTCCCGGTGGCCAGTGGAAGATGTACACGAGGAGCCTTCATGACTCTTCTGAAAGTAAAAGAAAACTTCCTAGAGGAGCTGGGCTGTGACTTCATCTTGGTGATTGACACTGAAGGGCTGAAAGCTCCAGAGTTGGCCTCTTTGGAGGACAGCTATGAACATGACAATGAACTGGCCACACTGGTGGTGGGGCTGAGTGATGTCACCATCATCAACATGGCCATGGAGAACACATCAGAAATGAAGGATATTTTACAGATTGTGGTCCATGCTTTTCTTCGGATGAAAGACATTGGGAAGAAGCCCAGCTGTCAGTTTGTACATCAGAATGTCAGTGATGTGTCTGCTCACGAAAAGAACATGAGACACAGGAAGACATTTCTAGAACAACTTGATGAAATGACAAAAGTAGCTGCAAATATGGAGAAGAAAAGTGGAATTACCTGTTTCAGTGATGTGATGAATTATGATCCTGAGGAGCACAACTGGTACATTCCTGGACTGTGGCAAGGGGATCCACCAATGGCTCCAGTAAACTTTGGCTACAGTGAAAATGTTTATGAATTAAATAAGTATTTTCTGGGATTTTTTAAAATCTCCAAACTCTACTAGAATTCAATGCAAAATCCCCGACTTCATCACATGGATAAAAAGTTTATGGAGCTCAGTGAAACATGAGAAATTCATCTTCAGTTTCAGAAACAGTCTGGTGGCAGAAGCTTATACCAAGCTGTCTATGCAATACTCTCTGTGGGAATGGAACTTCACCAAAAAGATCCATAGCTGGATGATCACCAAAGAAACTCACATAAGAAATCAAGCCCAGTCTCAGTGCTGAGATGTACATGCAGTTTAAAGATGATCTTCAAAGCTTACTTTTAGAAGAGGAAAATACAATGCTGAAGCTACTAGAAAAATATTTTGACAGCAAATGTGAGAATATTCATCCCATTGAGCGATACAAAGAAGAATTCTTCAACAATGTGAAGTTCCTGAGGAAAGAATTAGAAAGGAATGCGCTTAATAAACTCACTGAAGCAGGTTCCATCCAGAAATGCAAATTAAAAATTCTGGATATTCAGAAGACATCTCAGGAACTGATTGAGAAAGAAATAACAAATCTCCTAAAAAGCTGCAGGGAAAGAAATTGTGAACTTGGTGACATGGAGGCAAAGCAAGAATTTGAAGAGATGTGGAAGAAAACCTTCTCTGATTTACAAATAGAAGAGCTGAAAAGACATAACATTGGACAAATGATTCTTCAGCAGCTTAAGAATGAAATGGGTGTAGAGGGAGGAGTTATTAATAAAAACCTAACCAGTGTGATGAGCTTGGATAACTATGGGATCAATAAATTTGTTCCTGACAAAAGCCATATATCTCACAATCCAGTCTATCCACACCACCTGGACAAGATAGAAGATCTTTCAACAACTTTGACAGACATGTGTGACACATATATCGAAGAGAAGGCAGGCAACAAAGAGGATTACAGTGATACTTACTTTCAGGAGTTGCTACATATGATCAGTGCTAAACTTAAAGACAAAACTTATGAAGACCTTCACACTATCTCCCAAGTTTGAGCTAGATATAAAACTTTTTATCTTTGGAAAAGCATCTAGAGCATTTCAAAACATGCATGACAGGTTCATTCAAGAAAATGACCCAAAAACTTGCCTTGAAAAATTGAAACCTAAATACTTGGCCACATTTGAGAGCATATTCCATGAAAAAGATGAGTGTCAGGGCAGGGCCAAAGCATTCTGTGAGCTCTGCCTGAAGCCCGCATTAACTGATTATATTTTCCAACATCTTGGCAAGGAAATCATTAATGTCATTCTACAAAGTTCTGACGGTCACATATTTGGCAGCAAAAGTGATTTTCAGATTGCTGTGCTGGAGGACTTGCTTAAGAAAAAGGATGTTGAACAATATTTGTTCTACATTAATAGTTATAGGGCCTTTTTGACACGCTGGATCAGTGAGTACATTGCTGAGAAATATCAGGGTCTATCAATTCTGAAAACCTTAGAAGAAAACCTTTTATCTTCACTCATTGAAAAAATTGAAGAAGTCCTGAAGAGTGAGAAATGTGTGAAAACAGAAAGCATTGTGACATTTCTGAAAAGTTTCTGCAAGTCACTAGACAAAGAAATAGTGATCTCACAGAATGAAATGACAATGATCACTTTCCACAATACAGCAAATGTCGGCCAGTTCTCTGAGGACGTTCTTCAGTATCTTCCCAATATAAAGCAGGAACTTTTATCAGACCCAGATTTGCTGGACATTGAATTTATTCTCACCATAGTTACACTTAAGCCTCAGGAGGAATTGTTGAAGAAAGTGATTGGTTGCGGTAAGCAGTGTCCGTTCTGTAATGTCCCCTGTGACAATGCAGGTGGTGACCACAAAGAGCATTCTGCATCTCTCCATAGACCTCAGGGACTGGGAGGATACAGATGGAACCACTGGAGAAAAAATAAGACTTTAACCATTGACATCTGTTCCACTTCTGTGATGTCTAAATCTTTATTCATAAATTCTGACACAGAAGGAAAATATCGCCCATACAAAGACTATCGTAAATACTATCCAGATTGGGTAATTCAGCCTGATGCCAGCCTCGAATCCTCAGATTACTGGAAATACATTTTTGTACTTTTTAATAATAATTTTGCAAATGAATATTCTGAAAAACAAGCTGAACTTCCAAAAGACTGGAAGGAAATCACAGAAGAACAGGCTCTTGCAAGTTTACAGAAATCTTTTAATAATAAATGAATATTATTTAATATAAAATATAGACATGGCTGTATTTGTGTTATCACTCACAATATATGTATACACTATATTGCCAAAAGTATTGGGACACCCCTCCAAATCATTGGATTCGGGTGTTCGAATCACCTTCACAATTAGCACAGCAACAATGCGTAGAGAGCTTCATGAAATGGGTTTCCATGGCCGAGCAGCTGCATCCAAGCCTTACATCACCAAGTGCAATGCAAAGCGTTGGATACTGTGGTGTAAAGCACGCCGCCACTGGACTCTAAAGCAATGGAGACGTGTTCTTTGGAGTGTCGAATCACAATTCTCTGTCTGGAAATCTGATGGATGTGTCTGGGTTTGGTGGTTTGCCAGGAAAACGGTACTTGCCTGATTGCATTGCGCCAGGTGTAAAGTTTGGTGGCGGGGGGGATTATTGTGTGGGGTTGTTTCTCAGGGGTTGGCCTTAGCCCCCTAGTTTCAGTGAAGAGAACTCTTAAGGTGTCAGCATACCAAGACATTTTGGACAATTTAATGCTCCCAACTTTGTGGGAAGAGTTTGGGGATGGTCCTTTCCTGTTCCAACATGACTGTGCACCAGTGCACCAGTCCTGACCTCAACCCGATAGATACCCTTTGGGATGAATTAGAGCAGAGACTGCACACCAGTGCACGAAGCAAGGTCCATAAGGGATGAGCAAGTTTGGGGTGGAGGAACTTGACTGTCCTGCACAGAGTCCTGACCTCAACCCCATAGAACACCTTTGGGATGAATTAGAGCGGAGACTGCGAGCCAGGCCTCCTCCCCCGACATCAGTGCCTGACCTGACAAATGTGCTTCTGGAAGAATGGTCCAACCTTCCCATAGTCACCCTCCTAAACCTTGTGGACGGCCTTCCCAGAAGAATTGCAGCTGTTATAAAATACTTAAAATAGTGCTCATGTGCTTCTGGATGTGCAATACTTCACAAACAAAAAAAATTATTAAACTATTGCAGCAGTCCTAAACTTGTGTAATACGCCACAATACATGAATAATAACATTTAAACAGAACGTGCATCAGTATTAGACATATAGTCATGTGCATATATTTTAAACAATAACATACAGCATAAGTTTCCTTTAATAAAGTCCCAAATGGTGGAACAAGTGAACCAGCTTGTGCTCCAGCCTGATTGAAGTGCTTAGTTTTTTCAGTCAAATCAAACTGGTCCACTGTGCTCAACAAAGGTGCCCCACATGGACTTGAACTCACCCTTAGCCGGTGACCATCTATTTCTAGAGTGGTCTATAATGCTTTTGGGGACTTCTCCAAGGGAACAGTTGTCTCCAGATCTCAACAAGTGTAGGAGAAGCACTGCAATCAGGCTGGAGCACAAGCACGTGCACTTGTTTCATCATTTGGGACTTTATTAATGGCAACTTATGCTGTATGTTATTGTTTGAAATATATGCACATTATTACATGTTAATACTGATGCGCGGTATGTTTAAATTTTATTATTGAAGCTATTATAGCTGCAAAGGGCGGGGCCAACTCAATATTAAGCCCTATGGACTAAGACAGGGATGCCATTGAAGTTCATGTGCGTGAAAAGGCAGACAGCCCAATACTGGGGGCAATATAGTGTGTGTGTATATATACACTATTTTGCCAAAAGTATTGGGAACGCCTGCCTTTACACGCACGTGGCTCGCAGTCTCCACTCTAATTCATCCCAAAGGTGTTCTATGGGGTTGAGGTCAGGACTCTGTGCAGGACAGTCAAGTTCCTCCACCCCAAACTGGCTCCTCCATGTCTTTATGGACCTTGCTTTGTGCACTGGTGGGCAGTCATGTTGGAACAGGAAGGGGCCATCCCCAAACTCCTCCCACAAAGTTGGGAGCATGAAATTGTCCAAAATGTCTTGGTATGCTGACGCCTTAAGAAATCCCTTCAATGAAACTAGCGGGCCAGGCCCAACCCCTGAATAACAACCCCATAACATAATCCCCCCTCCACCAAACTTTAGACTTGGCACAATGCAGTCAGAAAAGTACACTGTCATGTGACGTGGCCTACCACTTGGTGGCTGAATTGCGGTTGTTCCCAGTTGCTTCCACTTTGTTATAATCCCACTAACAGTTGGAGCGTGGAATATTTAGTAGCCAGGAAATGTCACGGATGGACTTATTGCACAGGTGACCACCTATCACGGGACCACGCTTGGAGTCACTGAGCTCCTGAGAGCGACCCATTCTTTCACCAATGTTTGTAGAAGCAGTCTGCATGCCTAGGGGATGGATTGTATACACTGTGTCCATGGAGGGGATTGGAACACCTGAATCACATGATTGGGAGGGCTGGCCCAATACTTCTGGCAATATAGTGTGTATATGTATATGTGTATACAGTGAGGAACAAAAGTATTTGAACACCCTGCGATTTTGCAAGTTCTCCCACTTAGAAATCATGGAGGGCTCTGAAATTCACATTGTAGGTGCATTCCCACTCCGAGAGACACAATTTAAAAAAAATTCAGGAAATCACATTGTATGATTTGTAAAGAATGTATTTGTCTCGCACGGCTGAACATAAGTATTTGAACACCTGAGAAGATCCGTGTTAATATTTGGTACAGAAGCCTTTGTCTGCAATTACAGAGGTCAGACGTTTCCTGTAGTCCTTGGCCAGGTTTGCACTGCAACAGGGATTTTGGCCCACTCTTCCACACAGATCTCCTCTAGATCTGTCAGGTTTCGGGGCTGTCGCTGAGCAACACGG